TTGTTGTTGATGATTTATGAAAAATTCCTTCCGTCCTGTTAACTATGAGAACATAATTTGGCCATCCAATGTGTTCGTCGAATATTTCAAAAAAAAAAAGTCTAAAAAATAATTTATTGAAAACTACTGAATAATTTTTTCTACTATTTGTTTTGATAATCAGAAAACTCGACTTTTTTTTATTAAAGTTTTCGATTAACGAATTTTTAAACAATTTCAAGTAATAGGAAAATACGAACAATTATATTTTTCTAATAGTTTTATAATGATTAAAACTATTATACTCTCAACATTATTCTAGTAATGATCCATTACATTAACATGATTTAATTGTCGATATTTTTTTTTTCTTAACTTCAAACATCAATAAAATAGAATCAACTTACCATATTATAACGCATATATATTGGAGATGTGATAAAATGGATTTGAACATTGAACGTGGTTAGTTGATTGAGACGACCATCAAGTAAACAGAGACAATCATCAAAAACAAACACATTAATATTTAAGACAGTTAGAGTCGTAGAGAAATAGATTGTTGGTGGAAAATTATGAAGTAACAAAAAAGGATATTCATACACAGATGATGAAACAATTGTCAAATGTTTTAAATTTTCGAAGAAAGCCATTATAGGTGCATAGAAATTTCTAGCATAAGTTTTCAACGATATTTCATAAGTACATTCATCATTATTATGAAGAATAAGATCTGTTATCTGATGTTTGAAAATATGTTGATAGAATGAATCATCTATGAAAATAGATAAAAAATGTTTTTGTATTTTAATCTTTTGATAACTAAGAACATGTTAAATATTTACCTTTTAAATAACGAAAAACTGTATCTTTTCCGAAATTAACAAGTTCTAAAGAAGTCAAATATGGAAAATCACCAGCAAGAAGAATACGTTCTATAGATGTTGTTTCGAGAATAAGTTTTTTGATACTATGATGAATTTGAGGTAATATAGTAGTACAAAATCGATTAAGTTTATCATTAGTAATCGATGATGTTCTTACAAAATTGAGAATTTTAGTAAATACACTATCTTGTACTAAAATATCAAGTCGTTCATTATTTATTTCAAATAATGAATAAAGAACATCAATATTATTCAGTTTCTTCAAGATGATAATTAATATTTCATTGGGCAAATCAAGAAGATGAATGTCAGACTGATTCATGTTTGTTTATAACTGTCACCGTTTTAAAAAACGTATATATATATATGCAACGCAGAATAGAAATGTATGACTGTGATGCAAAACAAAAGAAATTGCTGCCGGTCAATATATTGTCCATCATTAGATTCTGACCTCTCTTCAACATTTGTTTAGTTTGTTGCAGTCGCTTCACAATGTTCATGCGCGTAAAAATAGACGATAAAATAAACATATCTATTAGACTAAAAAAACTTGACTGAATTACATTCATATAATTCTTTTATAAAGAATAAATAGTCATTTTGTGTGTCTTATAGAAACATATAAATGAGAAAGATACATTAACATTAACTATATACTATTTTCTTTGCTAAAAAGATTCCTTATCTCTTATAAAGCTACTTAAAGGTTAAAATAAATTTTACAGAGAAAATTCGATTACGTATATATACTCAAGCGATTTGACCGAGATAAGTAATCTCGACGTTGTAGAAAAAAAAATGCATTGTTATAAGAATTGCTAATATCATACAAAAATGATTGCTTGCAACAAAAAAGTCAATTCCAAGATAAGTTTTTATCTTGATTATAAATATGCTACTACTTTTTATGTTTTTACCGAAATAGAATCACTTCTGGTTAGTATTAGCAATTGTCATAACAATACATTTTTTTCACAACTTCGAAATTGCTTTTCTCGGTCGAATTGCATTAGTCACAAATATAAAACTTTAGGAATGGTAGAGCTAGATGTGCTGATGAAATTTCACTATAGCACAAGCTTGGAGAATCTCGTGATTGTAGTTGAGGTGATGCAAAGTTGTGAGAAATTCGAAAGTAGGCTTCAAAGATGGCTTCGCCATTCGATTTTGCGACAAGCTTCGGATCTGAGAGTTTCAGCGTAGATAGAGGATAGTCAAATAATTACAGAACACTAATAAATCTTAAAATTTCATTTGATATTCATAGAGACATTTTAGCTTAAAAAACAAGGATCATCACAAAGACTAGTACTTATGGTGAAGTTTTCAGCCTTCTCTCTTGTATTTTTGAAAGGAAGAAGTTACTAAAAACTAATTTAGCTGACAGGCTCCATCTAATCTCAATTATTAGGACCTCTTGCCAAAGTTTTCAAATTTTTTGTTTTGAACTTAGAATTATGCTTGCATACACAAGTCCTACAAGCACTGAAAATTTCATTTCATTTGTTTTCTGTGACGAGAAACAGAAGACATATATAATGTTTTGTGCATTGAAAATGTGTATTTGTATACAGATAATTAACGTAAGCAAATTCCGACTGTAGTTATTTCTGATCATTTATTCGTTCTTCAGTAAATTCTTCTCATAGTCCTAAATTATGGACAACAAAAAATATAGAATTATATACTTATCCATCGATTTTATTTGATACTAGTATTTTGTTTTTGCCTTTTAGATACTGTATTTGTTTTTTTGTCATTCAGAAGTTTGTTTCTATGTGATTACAATTATAGTTTTTCTTCAGACAGACTGCTCAGTTGTTATCATTTTGTATGAGTCTATAACGATTTTAGAAGATAAATATGTAATTAATATGATAAATTCAAAGTCATAATTTCTTTTTATGATAAAGTCAAATCGTTGTATGTAGTTTTTCTTTTTATCATATGTATGCAGACAAAGACAATCATTACCAGAAGACAATGCTATTGAGTACCATTTATTTGGCATTTTTAGCGTTTCGCATGCATCATTTGTCGAGACAAAGTAGCTCAAAATGTTCATTAATAAAGTAATTATGACTCATACATAATAGTTCTTATTTTTTTGTTTTTGTATTTACACAATATTCGGAATATATTGAGATAGTTTTTGGTGTGTAGTTAATGAGTGTACATAAAAAAGAGACACACATACATTCAGATTCTAATACTACATTCACATGCAAACCTTCTCGATTCATTCGGAGTAATTCTTTTTTTTGAAAGTCATTTCATTATTATACTTTCAAATAGTTTTATTCATGTCATTAATTCTTCAATCTGTAATTTTCGAACCATTATCTATTATGATTATGATTATTTAACATTAGAAATTGTCAAAATGTTCAAGATTTATGCAAAATCTCTATTTTTTTTGTCAACCCCAGGCGTAGTTATTTAATAAGAGTTGAACAGCTTCACTATCTTCAATTACTAATCTTTTTATGATTTCTTGTATTGCTAACAATTCAAAGGTGTCGTAATCGTTGATGAAATCGTATGATGAATTTTGGGTAGCACAATTTGAATGTTCCCATAACGTTTGCACGCAGGTCTTATAATTAGAATTAATCGTTTTTCTGATAGCACAGATAATTTCACCAATAGTCGCGCGATTTTCAGGTTCCGGTGACCAGCCTTTTTCAATAATGTTTTTTAAAATATCTGGCATCACTGTTACTGTCGGATGAACAGTATAAACACGCCAATCTTTGGGACGTTCACCTTTTATTGTGAATTTCATTATTATTTGCGTATCTTTTAGACCGGCAAATGGATGTTGAACTGTCAATAATTCGTAGAGTGTAAACGAAAGAGCATAAATATCGGATTGAAATGATGGAGTATTTCCATTAGCCACTTCCAGTGCATCATATCCAACCGTACCGCCTGATTTTTGAACAGCTGTAGCCGATGCTGTTTGAATAAGAAAACTCACTCCAAAATCAGCTATTTTTGGTATGTAACCTTGTCCAGTAGAATTTACTTGAAGAAGAACATTTGCAGGCTTAAAATCTCTATGAACAATTCCAGCTAGATGCAATTCTCCAAGTCCTTTACAAATTCCAAGTGCAATGTCTAAACGTTCTTCGAATGTCAAATTCAGAATTTTGTCATTAATCAGTGCCGTTGCAAGACTCGAACCATCAATGAATTCCGTAACAATAGAAATACCATAATTTGGTAATCGAATACCTCCATATACAATTAGAATATTCGGCATATGACTTAACGGTCGAGACAGAAATATTTCATGAATAATAGCATTTTCTATATCAGAACCAGTCACAGCTGGAACACGAGGGCATTTGATAGCATAATTCTGTACTTTAAGTATATTGCAAAAAGCACCATGGGCAAATGGTAGTTGATTATTTTCTATATGGATATTATTCAATGCTGTTGGCAGACAATATAATTTAAGTTTGTCCATGCTTGTTCGAAGTAAATTCATAACATATTCAGAACTAATAGCATTATCATGAAGTTTACCATTACACAATGGGCAATGCTGAATTTTTTTGAAACATTCATGACATACGTAATGTTTTTCACTGACCGTACATGATCGAATTGGAGTGTTCGAGAACTTTGAATACAGAGAAAACTTAGAAAAACAAATTGGACAACGTAATTCATTTAATAATTCACAATAATCAAAATCTATTAGATTAGCATATTCTGTATTTCTATATTTTTTCACATAGACTTCGAACATATCTCTGGTACAAATCATAAATCGAGTCTTGAGACCACTGGTAACCCAATTAAGGAATGATATAATCTTTATTTGATCGTTAGTGTCTAACTTATTAATCCATTGATGTATTGAAGTTTTGATTGTCTCATGATTGAAGTAGGATTGAGTTTCATGTAGTCGGACAACATTTGCCGATAAGTACATCACATTATGGTAACTGCAACCCATACAAGCTGCTTTACTGGAATTCCACTCTTCGGCATTGGTTTGAACATTTATTAAAGTTCCATCCAAAATATTATAATAGGCAAAGGAATTATTTCTATTTAATTTTCTACTGTTATGTATAACGTGAGTAACTTTTGTGCATGGAATAATCTGTTCAATTTTGAGTATGAGAGATTGGATTGTATCGTCCGGTTGTACTTCTTGAACTATGCAAAATTTCGAACTGCAGCTCCATCCACTCACTTTAACTTTCATCACTATCTAAAGAATATGTACTAGTTATATACGGTTTAATTAGGACTAAAGGTAAAAGATGCTTTTTTTTAAAATCAGCGTCAGTTGACTAATGCAACGTTAGCTCCCACAGAGTTGTAAGTTGGAAGAACAACTAAACACAACAAGTAAAAGAAAGGTAAAATTTTGAAACATACAACAAACTGACACGTGACCAAGGTTGAGAAAGAAGAAAAAAACTTGCGGAGCACCTAAATAAATAGGTGAAGTGACTTTAAAGTATAATAATGTACATAAAAAGACATCAAGAGAAATTCTATCATAAGATGAAAAAAAAAATTGTCACATAAATATTAGATTACACAAAAGCAAAACTTCGGTTTATTCCAACAATGCATGTTGATTCATATTCAGAACAGGGTTGCCATCTCTCCCGCTTTTTCATATAAAAAACTTTAGTGTATTTTTTATTGAGAAATTTGAGACAATAAAATGCGTTACTACGATGTAGATTATGTTAGCTGTAGAGACTCGCATCAGAATCAACGTTGGAATTGTTTCGAAGTCAACTAAATTTCTTGCCAACAATCCTTTTTTAAAACCAGAATTTTTGTGCTTTGTAGATTTTGTTCTTTAATGAGTTTTCTACAAATCGATGCAGGTTGAACGCCTAATCAATGTCACATCGGAATCTGTGAACACGTAAAGGAAGTCTGGATCAATTTTGACTTCGAGTTTAATTTTCTCTTCGTGTTCGTAGGCCTCGATATGTCGTTGATTGAGCCTTCAAAGTGCATCAGATTGCAGAAAATCTATCAAAGAATAAAATTTAAAGTGCACAAAAATTCTCGTGTTAAAAATTAGTTATTGTCAAGAAATTTAGTTGACTCCGATGCAGATCTCTTGTTAGCTGTCGTTTACAGTCTATTGTTATCTATATGATTCATTCTGTGTTCCATTCTAGAAAATAACGCTTCTACCGAAAGTGTTTTTTCGGAAACGATACATATCCAATGATTTTCGCAATCGAATATCAGTCGATTCATTCGCTGCAGATATACAGATTCGTTGAAATACTTAAATGTCACACAAACATGTATACACGTCTACTGTCTCAAAAAATAGTTTCTAACCGAAATTCATTGGAACAGTAAATGTAACTACATTGAAAAAATGATGTGTTTAATAAAATACTCATTTTTTTTATGTGTCATTTATTATGCTTTGGAGATTTGTGAATAAAGAAGAATCATGGAGCGAAGCAAAAAGTTATTGAAACTCACAGGAATGTGAACATCCTACAGAAAACAGCTTTCCGCAATTTTTCCATTTTTTTTTACTTTTTGTTTCCGTTTTTCTACAAAGGTTTTTCACCAGAAAAAAACCAGTCTTTTGGAGGGAAGATGCTCATATCTCTAAGGTATTAGAGTATATTTTTGAGATGTTTTACAACCAAAGGCGATCATTCTAACCATCGGTAACAGCCATAAATTGGTGTTACTGCATTAATTTTCATGGTATTTTGTGGCAATCCTTCATCACATTTTATATACCATTCTTTGCTAACAAGAGATTATCGTTTCTTTTACTATTTTTACTGTTTGACGAGTTTACGGAAAATGGTGGTTTTCATCGCTTTATATCATTGATGACCATTCATGGTTACATTCTCTTCCATACGAGAAAGTAATTGCACCAGAGATATGAAAAAATATTTGTTTTATTATCTTACAGATGGAACGTCTATAAAGTTAATTTTGTTAAAACAGCTTTTTCAGCTTGAATTCGCCTAGGAACTTGTTCTATCTGCCCTACTCTTATTCTAAGTGTAACTCAATGGTAAGTTCTATCGATTCATATAATCAAATTCTCCAAAACTCGAATTATAATTTTTAGGTTTTTGTACAGCGCTATCTATGGCTAAAAAATCCATACTCTGGGCTTTGGCAAAGTTGAGCATACCATTGGATAGAGCTCATTTAGTGATAACTTCACCTATGTACAAATGGACTCGTTTATTTTTTTGTTTTTGAATATGATCAAAACAGACAGTCACGAGTTCATGTTCTTGAATGACAATAAATCAAGACATTCATCTTTAGAACATGAACAATAAATAAACGAAACAGAAGTTTTCCTTGCATTAACATGCAAATGTATATTTTGATTACAATAATAACATTGAAAACGATCGATCACTTGTATATTTGATTTATTTTCTTGATTTGATCAAGACAAATCCCCGATGCAAATAAATTGAGTACTTGGCGGTGAGCACGAATTCTGACTTCATTAGCAATAAACGCTTCTCCATCACATGCCCAATTACTTAATCTAGTTTGTGAAGTAACAATTGGACGGATAATAACTTCAGTAGCACGATAGCGTTCAACATTTGATAACTCATCGATTGTTCGACCATCATCGGCTACATGACGAAGAAATCGATAAAAATCCAAATGCCATGAACTTTTCACTAGAATAACATCGAATGATCCATCACCTAAAATATGAAAAAAAAATTGCTTGTTCAACATTCTAATTCTCACAGAATCTATTTTCTAATAAGCAGCATATATATCGAATGTTGTACTAAATAGAGATAGTTTTTAAAATTTCTTATCAACAAATTCAAGTCGATTTCGAATTCTGAAAAGTAAACTAAAAATAAATGTGAAAAAATTTCAAAAAGAAATCTCATTCGTTAAGTAAATATAGTATATGAAGAAATAAATTATTTTTCAAGCAATCGCGTACCTATTTGAACAGATGGAGACATTCCATATTTGCTTTTTTTACAACGACCTGGAATGTTAAGACAATTGATTGCTCTATATTGACCTTTACATTTGATCGGCAATGATGTAGGTGATTGAATAGCATTGATTGTTTGATTTTCTAAAGAATTTTGATTATCTTGTCGTTTTGCAGAATTGTCAAATAAATGTCGATCAATACTATCAATCAGTATTTCTGGACTACAGTTTTCAACTGGTTGAGTAATAGTCAATTCTGTCTCGTATGAATTGTTACGAAAAAATTCATAAAAACCAGCCATATCATAACGAAATGGACCAAAAGCTCGCCAATTATCGGATTGTTGAATAAGATTACCAAAAAAGCCATAGGAAACCATTGTTGCCATTAAATGTACAAAGCAACGTTCACTGTGCACCTAATATATATATATATATATCAAAATTGATTAGATATGTACAACACACTCAAAATGAATATGCCTACTGTATTTATATCAATGAGAACAGATTCACCAACGATAATTTGTAAAGTACTTGTAATGGGATCATTGTGACCAGTAGTACTAAAAACGATTGCATCTGTAGATCCAGCCGGAATAACACCAATACGTAAATTAGGTCGTATCAGATTGACATTTGGATTATTTATATCGAGTTTAGCTTGTTGTACGGTTTTGAGTAGAAGACCATGACACAATTCTGAAAACATTCCATCGCCGCCTACAGATACAAGACCATCATAATTATCAAGTGATTGTTCATTAATATATTCTCGTGCATGATTGGCATGTTTTGTATAGATCGTTTTTACATTTATATTGGCTTCTTCAAATAAAGGTAATACATTTTTCTCGTATACAGAGGATCCTTTGCCTAAAATAAGATTATTGTATGATCAACGAAAAAAAAAGAAAAATTGTCTACGTTAACTCATACCTTTACCACATCCAGGATTGACAAATACTAAAAGACGTCGAGGTCGATGTTTTAATGTGAACAAGTATTCAGTTAATATTACACATAATTGATGAGCAGCTTCGAAATCCATGTCGAGTTGTAATCGTTTTACTGTCCAAATGAACGATTCAGAAATGTGAACATAACTGAGAACTATTGGAATCGGTTCGAATGAAATTAAATCATAATTTTGAATGATTTTTTCAGAAGAAAATCGTGGAAGATAAAATGTGGAAGAATTTGATTCGTTCGATGATTTTGTAAGCGGTTTAATATTAAGTAAATTATTGAGAAGAATTGTTCGTGGTATATTATCATTATCAATAGTCGTAGCATTTATCTTTTTTTCACTCAATAATTCAAACTGAAGTCGAATCAAATGTGCAATATTAATCGTACTCGATACTGCTCCACAAACATTGGCACTCAATAGTGTACTATCGTTAGTACCTATGAAAAGTTCTTTAAAATCATCATCAATACAAATAGAGAGACGAAATCGTTCCGTTTTGATAGAACATGAAGTTGAAAATAAAATGGATGGCATTATAAAGTCAATAAAATGTCTAAGGAAGAAGTATAAACTATATAAAAACAAAAAGTAATAATTTTCTCAATAAACATCAGCTAAAAATATATAGAAATATAATAAATAAAAAAAAAACGATTGACTTACTAATCATAATCGAGCTATGAGCGATTAAATCTATAGACAAAATAAATACGAAGATTTTCTGCGCAAATCTAATAGCCCTATATATAACCACGTTTTTTTCTTTTCTATCACACTCGTCGATCTGTCTTTTTGCTTTGTCGTTCTCTTTTCATCTCTCACATACATCAAGCGTTCTCTTATTGTCGTTCTGTTAAATAGCATTTACGCACATACTCTATCTCTCTCGTCAATATAGACAGGCATGTAAGGGATTGAGTCATTTCATCAACAGAACCCTTGGATGGTAAAGAAAAAACATTCTCAGTACTCGTGCAAACTTCTGTTGTGACATAGAGAATTCAAGCGATATTCAACCCTTATCAATATATGCTCTACATTCTGAAACCTGTGTTCTTATCTGACTGTGTAGAGTAGAATAGGTGCGTCACACTCTATTCAATGGCTTCGATCAAGCCTACGAAATCTCTTGATTTTGCAGTTCCGACAGGTTCGATTTTAGCGACAATATGAATCAATAAAAAAACAAAGTATAGAAGAAATAAATAACTATTCAAGAATTGTCAGAACGAATTTTTCTCGCAAGAAAAATAATAGTCATGCTGCTAACATCGTAAAAATGAAGTTCTAGATCGTTTATCTTTCGTTTCTAATTTGTTTTTTGTCATATCTTATATTTACTTTCTTTTTATTAGTAAACAAACATATATAAGAATACCAACAAAATAAAATACATTCGATTAAAAAGATATCTAATAATCTCAAAACATAATTTTCTTAAGAATAAACATTAAACACTCTTCGATAACTATTCTAGTATAGTAGATAGAGCACCAAAAAAAAAAATAACATCATTCATGTTCACTCGATTCTGTTATGGTTGAGATGTATCCAATTGTTATCGATCAAGAAATCAACATTTTTCTAGCAAAAGTCATTCTGAATTCGAGATAAAAAACATCCAAGTTCAATTCTGTAGTTTTCAGCGTTTTTCTGATCGATCTATTTTAAACTTTTCTGATTGCTAAAACTATAGATCAGACATTGTATGATATGTTGAAAAACGAACTTTTTCCTGGAAATCGAAACGATTGATCCGAAATCCAATATTTACACTCTATAGTATATGTGAAAAGATGATAGATCTTGTTAAGAAAGAATATTCTGTCAATAAACGAAACATTGCCAATATCCATAACTATAAAGAAGTTTATTTGGTAATTTTAATGATCTTTATTTATTCATTTAAATTGAAAAAGCTTTTTTATTTGAAATCGACAAATTTATTGTTGACAATTTTTTTTAATATGAGCCTATTATTTTGAATAATAAAAATCTTTTGAATTCTGTCATAAGTTGAAAATTTCTTTTTATGATATACCCCCGAAAAGCAAAAGTTAGCCACTTTATTTTGAGTATATCGTTACTATAATAGTATATTTTTAAAATAATAATACCGTATTCGGAAAGCGTGTAAAATTCTCTGTTACCCTGTATATTTGTATTTTGGTTTTCAATTTTGAATGATCAACATAAATTGAATATAATGAAGACACCCTGATGTCCAGATTCCCACAGACATGATTTTATCCCTGTAATCAAATTAAGTTTTTTAGATTTTGTATCACCGTAGAATGTTTGTTTTGAAAGAGCAATTATATATTCTGATAGCGCTTGAAATTCTCTATCTTTCTATATATTTGTTCATTCTCTTCCATTTATCTATTATAAAAATAATATAAGAACAATGAAGTCATCGCGATTGACAATTTCGAAAAATCTTGTGTATAATATATTTTTTCGAACTATAAGTACAAAAAAAATTATTTTTTTATGCAAACGATTATGCATTTTGATAGAGCTTCAAATTCTCTATCACCCTATATATTTTTGTTTTATCCTATATTTGTGTGTTGAATAATAAATTGAGTAATATTTAAACATCCTCATTGATCTACCCTAAATTAGACAGAAAATTTCAAAAAAATAGCGAAAAAAAATTGTGGATTTTTTTGAAATTGTCAATTACGATAACTTCATTGTTCTTATATTATTTTTATAATAGATAAACGGAAGAGAGGGAACAAATATATAGAAAGATAGAGAATTTCAAGCGCTATCAGAATATATAATTGCTCTTTCAAAACAAACATTCTACGGTGATACAAAATCTAAAAAACTTAATTTGATTACAGGGATAAAATCATGTCTGTGGGAATCTGGACATCAGAGTGTCTTCATTATATTCAATTTATGTTGATCATTCAAAATTGAAAACCAAAATAAAAATATACAGGGTAACAGAGAATTTTACGCGCTTTCCGAATACGGTATTATTATTTTAAAAATATACTATTATAGTAACGATATACTCAAAATAAAGTGGCTAACTTTTACTTTTCGGGGGTATAGATACGATAATAAAGACATGATATATGACCATTTACAGCGGATGTAATTCTCGCCGTAGATTCCTAAGAAATCCTAATAAATTCATAGTGAGTCCCCGAGAGTTCGTTGCGAATTTCCCGAGAATTCTGCTAGTGAGAGTTGACTAGGACTACTATTATACTTTGTTTGATACATTAGTATTCTTCGCTCTGTCTTCATTTATATTCATTGTAACTTACTCTCACAACAGAATCATATAAATCCATGAATCAAGCGAAAAGACATTTTTTTTCTCCATCCACCTTCAACGATTATAGTAGTTATGTAATAAACAGAACAAAATCTATGTTTGACTAATAAGATAACATAAAGATAACGAACTGAGTTTGAATATGACCAAATAAAAAAGAAACAATGTCATATAAATAGTAGAGCTAGAGAACAATATTTATTCATTCCTCCAAATCGAATGATCACAACACGCAATCAACATCAGCTTTGTAACTTTTCAAACTTTATATATGTTGAATAGCAAACCATCGAAATATCAAATTTTTTTTTTTGGAGTCCATATAGCACCACCTAAACAGAGAAGAATGTTGGAAAATGCTTGTAGAACAAAAATGGTCGTTTAAAAACTAAAAGATTTACTCTTAAAGCGTGTGCACGCATACAACTCTATTTTTCATTGTTATTTTGCCGTGTACACAAGTCACAGGTTTGTGTTATGAGTGTTTTTATGTACAATTTATCTCACACACGTATAAACACTAAAAAATTCGGAATTTTGATGCGTGTTCTGCTAAGTATTTTATCGTCATGGATGGAGAACTAATTAATAATCATGCTAACGATCTGAAAGAGAGGGTGAGTGTAGGTGTATAAGTTTTTCCATTCTCACACTCACACCCTAAAATAATCTACTAGTTTTACTCAATTTTTTTAATATATTAAATCTAATTTTATTTGTCTCTCTTATATAAATCTCTTTCGTTCTTTTTCATTTGAGTTCGATTCTTTCTCAGATAGAATGAAAAATCTATAAGAAATATAACACTTGATATTCTTTTTACTTGCCTTGCTATATGATTAATGCAATGCACTTCAAACTTTCATATATTGTAGTAACCTTCTCGAATCTTTCCCATTAGCATGATTTGTTCTTTTATTTCATCTGTTTTATTCTCAATCTATTCAATTTTTTTCTTTGAATAACTTCTTCGTTGTATAAGTAGGTAAATAGATAGTTAAATAGTTAGATAAGCATACGGTAAGATGCAGAGTCCGATGCACAGGATGTTAAATGAGCAGTTAGGCAATCAGTTAACTGTAGGGATTTTAAAACCTTTTTTCAAAAGTAATTTTGTATAATTCCACCATTAATTGAGCTATATTGTCTAATTTTTTTATATGATAAATGAGTCCGTTTACCTTTTGTTTCTATGAACAAACTTCAAAAGCCCTATTCAACGATATCATCTTTAGTTGTAGAAGAAAAATTTTTCCTTTTCTTCTATTTCAGGAAAACTTTATATAGCAGTTCTTTTCAATGACTTCAGTTCTTGACATTCTCTAGATTTCTTAATCATTCAGACGTTGTATAGTCGTACGATAGACATTTGTTTTGATACATTCTCATCAAAAGAAATTCGATAGTATCAAATTGAAATGAGTGAATTTGTAACGAATAAACTGTCAAAAATTTTACCCCGTATACGAAATAATCATTTTCACACGACTCTTTTTTGTGAATGATAAACAAGAACTGCGATTAACACCTGAAAATAGTCGAAATTTCTATAGTGCTTTCACATGTTTTTTTTTCATATTGTTTTGTCTGCTTGCGTAGTATATTTAAAAAATAAGTAAATAAAATTATACCATACAAAAATCTAGAAGTGGATATTATTGCATTAGGCTATGCTTCAGTTACTCTTAGATTGAAAAGTATAAGAAAAAGAACGTTATTTGCACTTCAAATATGGCAACAACGAATAATTCGGACTTATTATTATTAACAACAACGATTGACAATGGTGACAAAAACTTTGAAATATTTTCGTTAATTTGGCTTGATAAAGATGTGAATACTAATGAAGATAATTGGAAAATACAACAAAAACTGAAAGAATCAATTAATTTTATTAAAACATTTGATGATATTAAAAAGTGTGAACAATGGATCGGACGAAAAATACAACAGAATGCAGAAGAGAAAATCATATTAATTGTTTCTGATAGTTATGGATGTGAAATTGTGCCACGTATTTATCAATTACCACAATTGGTTGCAATCTATATATACTGTCAAGTCGAAATGACAAATAAACAATGGTTAGAAAATTATAAAGAGAAAGTAAGTCTATCATGAAATTTAGTAGTAAGAGATAGTACCATTCTCATTGTTCGATAACTATAATTTGAATCACATCTTACAATAAATTCTAAAATATATAATAAAACTTTTTTGATTATCACATTTGGATAAAAGTAGATATTCAAATCTTTTAAAACATATCAAAGTTGTCAATTTAGTACATCTCAGCAGACAATACGGAATATCTATGTTTTATCATTTTCATGTATTTTTCGAAGATACACATACACAGAGCTGCTCGAGGACTAGTTCATTATCCGTCATCGAGATCTCGGTAGACGACAAAACTTTGGATAATTTAGTTTGTATCTAAGATTGTACTCGGAATAAGTGCTCATTGCATGTATAGTTCATTTGACATCTCCTGTGTGCTCATAGTTTTTGTTTTTTTTTGTTTCTACAATTAAATATGTTCTGTCTGAAATTCAAATTGGACTATTTCTATCAATTTCCTATGAATCATTTATTCAACTTACACAAAATATTCTTTTATTTTTCATGGAACAGTAAAGAATGATATTTCGTCATTGTTTAATGACGTTGATAATAAAAAACTGAATACACACACATACAGGTTAATCTAGGTTTGTGCAATTATTACAAAGTCTGATGAATTATTGACAAAAATATCAAATGATCAAAATGAACGTGAAATGTTAGAAGCAATCAGTAGTAATTCTATGTCCATTTTTATAAGTAGTGTTGCTACCGCTGCTTCTTCTTATTCTTCATCTACTGACAGCAAACAAAATTCATCTACTGAATTAAATGGTGACTTCTTATGGTCGCAAATATATATCGAAGTACTATTAAGAATGAAACGTAGAGATAATGAACGTGAAGAATTAATTAATTTATGTAAACAAATATATGATGGTAATAAAACGGAGTTACAAAATATTGAAAAATTTAAACAGACCTACACACCAGAGACAGCCATTCGATGGTATACAAACCAATGTTTTCTCTACAAACTATTAAACAAAGCTCTCAGAGCACAGGATATTGATATGTTGATTGCATTTCGATTTTTTATCAGTGATTTGTATCAACAATTAAAAGAATTATATTCAGCGGCTAGCCATCTTGAACCGATTATACGTGTCTATCGTGGTCAAGCTTTACCAATTCACGAACTTGATGGAATAAAATCGATCATTGGTCAACATTTATCATTAAATAGTTTTCTTTCAACATCATTGAATCGAGAAGTAGCACTTAGATTTATTCCATCGATTCCTGCTGCAAATAAAGAAAAGATACTTTTTGAAATTGATATTGATCCTTCAATTAAAAATATAAAACCATATGCAAATATTTCTTCATATAGTTATTTTCAAACAGAAGCTGAAGTTCTATTTATGTTAGGATCTATCTTTAAAATACAAAGTGTTACAAAACAAAATGATATATCAATCATTAACATTCGATTAGAAAGTGAATATGATCCAGAATTAAAACAGTTGTCGGATTATATGAAACACAATTTAGATGAAACACCAAGTTTCGTTACATTGGGTGATCTGTTATTACGAATGGCTGAATATGACAAAGCATTAAGATGTTATGAACGAGTATTGAAGGAATTGGATGGTAAAGATCAAAATACTATACAAGCTGCACAATGTTTTACAGGTAACAATACGAGAATGAAGAAACAGAAAAATGACACTTTCATAATATGATTTTTCTATCTTAGGCATTGGTAGAGCAGCTAATTTTGTAAAAAAATATGATCTATCAATAAAATATCATAAAAAAGCATTGATGATTAATTTATCACTACCAAATAATGATTATAACATAGCTGGAACTTATAATAATTTAGCGAATACATATAAAGATCGACGTGATCATCAGATAGCATTGAAATATTTTTATAAATCATTAGAAATCAATAAAAAAATTAATGGTGATGATACTCTTGAAGTTGCACGATTATATTTTAATATTGGTAATACATATCGATATCAACAAAAGTATGATGATGCTCTTTTGAATTTACAACGAACATTAGAAATTCGTCAAAAATATTTACCACCTCATCATTATGAAATAGCGGCAACATTGACAAATATTGGTAAAATTTATTATAAAAAACATAATTATAAAATTGCGTTAGATTACTTATTAAAAGCAGATAAAATCCATCGTCATTCACTGCCTTCAACACATCCTGATGTAGGTGGACTTTATTATCTTATCCAAGAAATCCGCAGTTTAATTTCACAATAAATTGTTAACTAACTGAAAGTTTACACTAAGATAGTCAAAGCTTTTAATTATATTTAGAAATGAAGTTCTTTTCGTATTTTTGATCATTTGAATGTCAAAACTGTAGCAATCGAACCATAAGTACGAAAATATTCTTTCAATTTTTCTATAATTCGTGCAGGGATAAACGATCACATTGGAAGGGAGAAACAATGACTTTAATTAAACCTTAAATATATAAAATTCATTGAAAATCCAAAATATCCTATCGTCATGTCTACCACGAGTCTACAGAGTAAGTTTTAAAAAGGATGAGGTGAGAGGAGAGTGTTGTATTATATAATTCAACACTCATGAACAACTATACAAATTGTCCAGTCGATCAATGTGTTATATTTGATAGTTCTTGTAACTATGTATATCAGTCGTAAGTTACATTGCAAATCTTTCGATAAGTTCATTTGTTGGTTGATGAGAATAGACTGTACGTTTTGGACACTTAGCAATCGAGAATAAAAGACATCAGACTTTCTGTAGGTTTTTTTTTACGCAAAATTGATCAAGTTATAATTTTAAAAGATAATCAACATCATTGTTTGATGAGTTGATTAATATATATGTATATAATAGTGCATACGATCTGCTGTAGATATAATGGATATGTAAAACAGATATATTTGACAATTAATTCAATAGTTATAATAATAAGAATGTTACACTGAGCAAAACGAATTAAAAAAAAAAGTGAAAAATAGCGAGCGAATACCAATAATGAAAATAAAAAATTCTCGTTTTTATATTTTCTGTATTTTGTAATAGTATAACGAAGTTAAAGGACATATGTGGGTTTCATATTTCAACCCTACAGGGGCTGCGCTAACAAGCTTTTTTTATTTGCATTTAACAGCTTCAATAATGAATATAATGGAAGCGGCAAGTATTTGATTAGTTTCACATGCTTCAATATAACGTCTTTGAAAATCTTTGCTTTCATCTTCAGTTAAAACACCTTTTGTGACTAAAAGTTCTCCCATTCCTCGAATTTTAATCCAGTCTTTATCTTGACTTGCTAAAAAATGACCTGATTGAAGAAATGGTATTGGATTCAAACTTTTAATATCAAAATTCATTTTTGGTAACATAAATTGCAAACGAATACCAGTTGCACCATCTCTTCTACTTGGTAAAACACTATCATATGTTTTAATTAGAATTTCATCAGGACTATAAATTCCTCCAGCACCACCTTCTAAAGCTATTAATCGACCATTAACTTTTAATACTCGTTTAATTTCCATTAAAGCTTTTGAAAGATCTACATGTTGAAGGGTAATATCGGATCGGACAATATCAAAAGTTTTATCATCAAATTCCATTTGAAGAATATCACCATGGTTTATCTTAATAGATACATTTGATGATAAATTAACTTTTTTACTTTCATATAATTTTTTTGCTTCTTCTATCATAGTTGAATTTTGATCTAAACCAATAATTGAAACTGTTTTATCTAAACGCATAGCTTCTTCTGCTACTAACATTAAATCAATACCTAAACCACATCCAATATCAAGAATTTTTATTTCTTGTGAATTATCAAATTGATCAAATTTCATTATTTGAATAACACGTTGTTTTGCATCAATCCATTCTTGTGATAAACGTTGTTTTAATAAATGTTCAACAAAATCAACTTTTAATCCAGATGCAAGTGTATTTTTATTATCTTTCCATACATTGCTAAAATCTTCGGTAGTAAGACGTTTCTGTTCTGTCATTGTATATTATGATTATAAGATATGAAGAGCTAAAATAATGTTAGATGTCAACCTTTACATACTATATCAATCAAATGAAAACGAAAAACAACGTGATGAAGATAAAAGGAAAGACAAATATTGAATTTAGGACGAAATAGTGACGATGATAAAGGCATATAAAATGCAACATGTGGAAAAAAATAAAGCTCAAATTCTGTATCAGTCATTGAAATCCTAAATAACATCTATTCGTTTCAATTTCAATGGATTGAAGTTTTCTTTCATTGAGAAATTTTTACTTTAACTATTTGTAATTATTTGTGTAAAGAAAAGAAAAAGCCTTTTGATGTATTTTAATATGCATGGGTGAATATTGGAAATATTTAATGCCTGAAAGATTGACATAAATCGAGAGTATTTGTGCAAATATTATCGCTAAAGTTGATGATCACACGAGAAACCTACAGTATGATGGGTTTTTTTTAATTTTATTTTAATATTTTCCGATACTTTTATATGAAGAGAAGTTAGATGTACTAATACATGAATCATTATCCTAGATTCGTTCTGTTTCCATCGTTGTATTTTTAACATAAATGATTGTATACATTTCAATAAAAAAAAAACGCCGATTTTCTTATTCGGACAATAACTGGAAGAGAACAGAATCAAGTGAAATTTAGTCAAAATAATAAGTGATTTTATAATATTTTTTATTCAAGTAACATTAAAAGGCTGTAGTACGAGGATTGGATGAGAACAAGTAACCAATAACAAATATATTTTTAAAAAAGAATATTCACTTAGATAGATGCTCCTATCATGCTACTGACTTTACTCATCAAATGATGGTGTCAGTGTTAATGTTCTTTTTGTGCTAAACATAATCACGCCCACACCCTCCTTTGTAATCATTTAAACAACGGTACAGATCGATATTAATCAATGAAGGTCATGCAAAGCATCTGTTCGAACGTTTGAAGTAACCTTATGTAAATCTATCATGACACTTCCCTAAACATTGTCTACATTATTCAGCTTAATTCTATTGCATGTCATCATAGTCAAAAAATATTTCAATAACATCAACCTGAATTGATGACTCTCGATTGAAATCAAAGGAAAAACTTTTCGATAGTTTGACTTTTATTCAATTATCTCAAGACTTTTTTTGTTTACATAAAAGAAATAATCAGAGTGATTCCATTTTATTAATCTTAGATGATTGTTTGTTAAATTGAGTTGATTTATCGTAAAGTTCAGCTGCTTCGTCACATTCACCTTTACCACGAGCGATTTGTGCAAGTTGAGCATAGAGCATTGGATTGCAAGCTTCACCATCTTTCTGTTTAAGTAGATTGCATACTTTTTGAGCTTTGTCAAGTTCACCAAGTTTGATTAACAATTCATTCAATCGATACCATCCTTTTGCAGTACCAATTTCTTCTCGCATATTAGAAATAAGTACACGAAGTTTTGAATTGATTTCATTTGTAATAGTAAGATTGATTCTCCATAACATATTTTTCTTATCGATCGGAGTAATCTCACCAACACGGAAAATAGAATGTGTCGAGAAGAGAACTTCTTTTTCCGATTCGAAACTACTGGTTTTTTCGATTGCAGCAAAAGGAATGGCCGACATTTCTAAATCGATAGTCATGTGAAAGAGTACACCCACTGAATCAGGCTTCTTTTCAAGACCACGACGACTAAAATTAATTGATACATCTTCATTTTGACTAGTAGATAAGAAATTATTGAATGAAATCAATCCACCTTTCATCTTCTTCAATTTTTCAAATTTGGGATTGATAAACGTTTGTCCCCGATAGACAGTTAAGGATTGACCCTTATAACGATGAATATTTTCCGAATGTAGCTTTTCAAGATTTCGATGAAGATCACGAATGAAAAATCCCATCTTGAGAATAATGTCCACGTCAAGAGTACCCAAAGCTCGATTGAGCATATGATAGATAAAACATTCACAAGTGTACCACCAGATAGGTGGATACTGATGATATTCTCGTTCGAATTGATCGATCTTCTCTAATTCAACTTGATTGTTACTGTACTTCTCACGACAATACTGAGCAAGTTCTTTGATAGATTGTTCATCATCCTCGTTAATGTCCAATAAAATTTCTTTGAATAATTGACCGTACATAAAATTTAAATCAGATTGATTTAGAATTGAACCGGATGATGATGTACCACTAGCCGAAAGAAAACTCATTGGCATTGAATCTTGATTAAAATGATGTGCAGTTTGATACAATGATTTACAAATCGTATCGATATGGGTAAGTATACCCTTTACTTTAGGCCATGCAGTCATTAAATGTTCATAGCGAGCTTTGTTACTACAAAAAACAAAAACAGAATCGAGTTGAGTCATTGAATGAACGATAGGTATGATATTTTCACCAAGACGACCAGATACAATCATGAAAACTTTTTCGTCATGAACATTTTTAAGAAAATTCACACATGGATCAACATCAGTAAACGTATCAACAGTACTGACAACACGTCTTAGACGAGTAAGTGTATTACAACAATCTGGATTCGTTTTGTCGATATTAGCATCTAACCAAAGGATACGAAAATTTTCAACTATCTGTGATAGTGCGACTGTAGTATACGGCGATGAAGCAGATGAGTCTTTCGAAGTGACAGGCGAATGCGATGAACCAGTTGAGTCTTTCGAAGTGACAGGCGAAAGCGATGGAGCAATTGCGTCTTTCGAAGTGACAGGCGAAGGCGAAGTCTTAGCGAGTTTTTTGATTTTTGAAAACATCGTTGTAAGCTTGTTGTCTCCCATATCATACACGTAGTCGTCAAAATGTAATGGTGAAAGATTGATTGTGTACGGACTAAAAATGATTTGTTTTTATTACATTTTATTTTTCTTTCTATTCATTTTCGTTCTGTCTTACGAGTAATTACCTTCTTCTCTTGTTTGATCATCGTATATTCTGTATAAAACGACCACGTGAAAAATTGGCCATGCGTAAAGAGCAAATAGCAATGATGTTACATTTTTTTTTATTTCTAGTTTCTTGGTTGTATGTACCTCTAATAGTCGGAAGAGAAATAATAGATTGAAAGCAATCAATAACAACAATATCATCCAATCGTTTAGAACAACAAGAGAATTCTCACTTACGAATAATGAAGACAATATCATCAATACAACATTAAAAAAAATCAAGATATGCATCCAGTCAAGAAGATTATGAAGAACTACGAATTAAAATAATCGAATTCTTTTTTTTTAATATGCACATTCATCATAGAATATAAAAATACCTATTAGGACATTACTTGAACAGATTTCATGCTTTCGATTTCATATTTTCTTCATAAGTAAATATTAATGAAAAAGTTATTCCAAACTTTTGAATCACATAGTAGCACTTCAAATGATCTAGAAATAATTTCAAATAATAACTAGTTCAATTTTTCGATTTTTCCCGACATTGAAAATTTTCAGTCTTATGGATATTTAGTTATGAACAAAACATGGAATGCAGAATGTAAAATCAAATAAATTATTTTTATTCAAGAGAACTTTTGTGGTATACATAATATATGAAAATAAACTGGTGCATGAGAATCTTTCTTATTATTATTATTATTATTATCATCAAGTTCAACGTTGTTTGTTTTGTATCTGATTAATTTCAGATAAGATGAAATAGCATTCGTGATATTTCTCAGCTAATGAACATATACCGCATTCTAGAAAATTCCATGCGAATTATGTATTGCAGCAAGTGTAGTAGAAAAAAAAAACAAATGGAAAATTTTCTCAAAAGATTATATCAAACAAGGTTGATAGAGCGAAAGAATCATTGCTATAATTAGAATGAAACAATGTCGATAAGACTACCTTGGAGAAAGTACTGAGTTCAGGGTACCCATGTACTGAGAAAGCCTTAGCAGGGTACCTAATATGGGTACTTCGAAAGTTCTCAATAATTATACTGATGTAGGTACTGCAAGGGTACCCATAAAAGTACGCTCACTGAGCAAGTACTGGTATGGATATCCGCATCTGTAATTTTACTGAGGAAAACTCTACAGGGTACCCTACATTTGTCGCTTTCTGCGTAGCGACTGTTCATTCACCGTTTTCTTTTTCGCGCACGGCTCCATATAAACAACTGAGCAAAACAGAAGAAATTAATCTGTTTTCATACGAATTTTTTCTAGATTATTTCTTCACTATTTCTTAGTCGAGAACTATCCGATCTTGATCGTAGATTAAGAGCGGACTATCCTAAGGTGGTCTCATGGATACTCGACCAACTCAAGTTCGGTAAGATCTCGACATTTGACCTGTTTAGTTTTCGGAATTGAAAAAATTAAATATAATAAAATCGAAAAAAATGTAATGAATCGCTTTGAGAGAAAAAAAAAGCAAAAAGTGAAAGGTCAGGTTCGATCCTGAACATACTGAAATTTTGGTAGCAGGGTACCTAGAAATACGGTATAATAGTATCCAATTGAGTATCTGATCAGTATCTTCAAGTACCCAGTTACTATACATTTTGTAGCAGGATACCTACCAAAGTACCTATAAGTACTTTGGTACCCAAAAGTTCCTATGACATATTGGTAACAGGGTACGTTTTTGGGTACCCTTAACTTAGTATATTCTCTATGGTATATTTCTTCTTTTTAAAAGATCGGTTGTAAAATCCTATTGATAATAATCTCGAATCTGATCGAATAGTTGTGATATTTTACTTGAGAATATCTGTATTGTGTCATCAGTTCAGTCAGAAAAAAAAGATGTAATTTTGAAATGTAAAATGGCTATAGAAGTTTTTATGGTGTTTTGTTTTGCTCAAATGATTATCTGTTGCCAAAATTACAAACGAATACTAGATCAAAAATAATTTCAATGAGATAAGATTTTTATACATACGAATTCAAAAAAAAATAAAATTGAAAGACAATCGACCAGAGAATAAATATTGACTCTACACTGTCACATGACATTGTATTATATTTGTCCATCAAGAAAACAAGTAACGGGTGTTGCGAAAATTTCTGAACAACTGTCAGACTCTGTTGTATTTAGTTTGAGAGCGACAGAAAACTAATTCATTTTTTGTTAGATAGAGCATGGATTCTACTCTGAAAGGACATGTTTCACAGATTTTTATTCATATACTAGTAGCAAAATATTTTCCTGTTTTTGTAAGCCTCATAAAACGCAAACTGTAAAAGTTTTTAACAGTCAACATATAGCATATATCAACAAAGACGTGTACTTGTGAGTTAAAATAACTTCTATGTCGTATGACTGTTCAATTACTATTTAGAGAAAAAATTTCAGTTCAAACGGATTTTGGTTTACCGCAACTTAGTTTCTTGAAAGACTGTCGCGTATGAGTGGGGGTGTGGATGTCGATCAAGAGCAAACTAACACCAACATCCACCCACATCCAACGTGATTGTCTTTCAATAAATATTTATTCAACAAATGATTTTAATATTTATATTGAAACAACGCAACCAACAATGTTTCATTTATTATTTTTTAACGAAACAAAAGATATATTAACATTAGAACAATCAACAACAATGAATATTCGAACAGATTTTATTCGGCAATATCTCTCAACATGTATCATGGATCCAACTTTTTAAAATTTTTATTAATAAAAATGAACAATATATGAAAAAATAGATTTGTACGTATTGATTTTTCTTAGAAAAGACATAAAATGAACAGTTGAGATTTATAATTAAAACTTAAAAGAGTAGATTAATGAACCAATAATGTTTTCATTATCGATCTTTGATTACGAATAGGATTATTCTGCATATGTGATAATGTCAATATTCAATTAATATGGTAAAATCGTTTAACAATTATATTCTTTAAAGAATATTAAACTTCATATGATCTAACAAAATAGATATAGAACAATCTATCGAAAAATGAAAGACAATGAAAATAAATCGAAGCTATTCAATTATTTCAATGTTAAGGCATTCTCATAATGAATGTTCGTGTGATGAGCACTTTGCAACTATCTCCGCTGTCGACTTTCCTTGAAAAGCGCTTGTAAGCAACTGTTGATTTAATATTGGTGATTATCAGTCTTTCTCTTTTCGCAGAGATTTCTTTCTTCAAACAAATCAAGATTTTATTGAAAGTTAATTCTGATGTCGAATCAAAATCGATGTGCTGTCTCAATTAAAAAAGAACTCACTAATAAAAAATATTATGACATGTTCTTCATAAAACACATTTTATAGTGTCGATATATGGCGTCAGCAAAAGATAGATTACATTTATATTACCATCGACTATTCCAAATCATTTCAGCGGATGAATTACTTAAAACCTATACACAACTCAGGCACGCCTTCAAACGCTTGTCCATCAATAAGAATCTCAGACGATCAGAACACATCTTGAGGCACGTATGTGTGCAAACACATAACAAAAATGTTTGCCTAGGAAATAGTTTTGCATACTTTCTTACTCAAATATCACATGTTTAAGTGAATGAGTATCATTTGTGAAAAAAGCAAAAGCGGTGAAATATGCTCGAAGACTTCCCGCAACCGTTGACTATACCGAAAAAACACCAACAAGAGGTTTGTATCAGTAATTAGTTTATTATATAAATGATCGGTTCATTTCTCGTTTAGACGTATTGTCTTAAGGTCAATTATTATCGTCCAAGGCTTTGATAAAATTGCTGCTTCGATCCAATACAAAAATAATACCATGAATTGTAATGTCGAATCGAAAACGTTTGAGAACAGCTCTCATTGTCTATTGCGACAAAGTTAAAGTAAAAAAGTGTATACAGGTTAGAGTAGGTTTTTGTTATGTACCTACGAAACACTATGCACCCAATTGTTGATTTCAATACACAGTTCACAAGAGAGATCGAGTGTGTGTAGCTTACAATTACTATTGACGAAAGAAGCTGTTAAACCAAGATAATAATTTTCTACTTAAATCTGTCGCTCTACATGTCTAAGGTAATTAAAACCGTTCCTTGTTTTGCTGCTTGGATCAAATCGATCTCTATCTGTTCATGACCTTCACTTGCTTGTCATCCAATTTTTCGGATAATTATTGGTCTTAATGATACAATATCATTAGAAGATATACGGCTGAGAAATGACTCTGCAAACATTGAAATGAAGACATTCCGAGATCGATGACAAATTTTCAGTTTACTTACCACTACTTCAATTAAGACATCGTTAAATGGAAGTAAAGAAACCATCATCTTCAACAATACTAATCAGACATGTATTTCCACAATTAGACTGATTAGAATTAATATGACTAAGTCTAGTCAGTGAAGTGAGACTAGACAAAGCTAATGACAAGTTAAAATTAAATGCAAGCATTAATGGCGATTAGTACTTTGGACAGTTTTGTTCAACCAGCTATTTTGTAGATGTATGAATATATACATGTCTTATGGCAAGCTCGACATGATGCAAAAATCTCGATAATAGGATATTTGTTGTTTTCAAATTTGGTTGATGATAAATCGAATTGAGATTAACATGATAATGGATTGATGTATTTCGATTTTGTATTATCGACGACTGTATATTTGTGTGTTTTTTCTTTTAGACATATTTTCTTGTTTGTGTTATACTTAATGTTATCAGGAGATCGTTGCATAAATAATATTCATATACTTGAAGATAGATGTATATTGCTTGGCAGAGAGATTTGCACTGGAGTAATTGAATTATTAGGCAACACGAATATGTGGCAATCAGATGATGGCAATAACGGGTGAT